GTACCAAAAAAAATAAAATAAAAAATTTGTCTTTTTCTAAGCCCAGAGTAAAAAACAAGGTTAGAGAAAGCTAGATAGATTTTTTTTAATAAAAAAGATGATAGATTCCTGATTAAAAGCAAAATCCAAGATTCATCAGATATCTGGAGGTCAAGAGAGACTAGGAAAGAAATGAGGCTCTTCATTCAAACCTGACAACAGAGGAAAGAGAGTATCTGAGACAAAGGCTGACCAGGTCATGCAGCCCCCCAGGGCTCTGTGGGCACCAGCACCAGCCCTCTGTAGCTGACGAGTGCACGGATTCCCACACATACGCACACTGGCCAGCATCCCCGTCACTCCTCATTCAACACTTCAAGGGAGGCCATGCACCTCCACCACAGCCACACCCACTGCATGCACACAGTGCTTTAGGAACAAATGAAAAAGCCACTCAGCCAACAGAAAGCCAGTGACCCATCCTTGCTGAGGGCAGGATATATGTAACTTTTCATAGAATAAGGAAGGGGTATCCTCTATCCTGTTTGGTTAATTATTTTTTGTTTGGTTGATTAGTTGCTTGCTTCCTTGCTTTTGGTTGTTTTATTTTAACTAGATGCTTTACCGGATTATTCTCAAAAGGAACAAATTATTTTGTTCTCTGAATAGCTTCTGCCTCAAAGAATCAGAACTAGAGAAATTTTTAAATCTTCTAAAAAGTTCCTGCATAAATTTTAAGTTTGGAAGAGGCTCATGGAAACAAAGTGGAAGGAATGTCTAAGGTTCTTCTTTTTCTCAAAAGTCTTGTTTCTGGATAGTAATATCTAGAGGCAGAACGGCCCTGAGAATGCTTCCTGAAGGCAAGAGCTGCCACATAAATGTCTTCTACACCACTGTCCTGAGCCACAAGGCTGGCATGTAACTTATGTGTATTAAAGAGAACTGGAACTATACATTGAGACACTGTCATAAAATTGTTCCTTTTTGTTTACTCAGACAAGATGCTCTCCAGATAAGAACAAATTTGAAGTTCAGGACTTGTGGTAAAAATATAATCTTCTTAGGATGTAAAAGACTTAAAGGTAGAGATTATTTCTCATGAAACTTTATACAGATCCTACAGCATCTGGAAAAAGGTATAACAGAGGATTTGAACTTGAAAATACTTGAATGAATCAATGAAGTCATGGATGAGTGAATAATGAGAATGTTAATTTATGACTATGAGAGTACACCGATGTGTAATGGCCTGAATACTGAAAGCTATAAATGAATACACATGAAGGTGGCAGGTGCTTGTATTTGTTAGTGAGGTAAGAACAAAAGTGTTTGTGTCCAGCATCCTGTAGGGCCAACAAAGCCATGGGCAAGGCTCTGATGGGTAGAGGTGATACACTAGAGCTTCCTCATTAGAAGTAAGTCATAGAGCCACTTCAAGGCTCTCATGAGTTCTCTGTGCCTTACTGGAGCCACTAATGCTTTGCCATTAGAACTCAGCTGCCATCCCAAGATGCCAATGTTGTCAGTTCTCCCAGGAGTGATTAGATCCATGGTCCACACCCTGTACCACACATTTACCATACGTAGAATTCTCTCCACAGAGAAGCAAAGTTTCTTAGGGGGAAGAGAATGATAATGAAGTGATTGAAGGTCTCAGTGGTGTAAGAACTAGGGTCCCTGAACACTCACCTCTGCCATAGGGAGACACCGGTGAGAAGGCTACCAGAGCCTCCCTTCGTTACAAAATGGAGTAGACTCTAGCAAATTCTGCATGAGCTAACTCTTTTTCAATAGTTCTCATTGATTACCAACTCTTGCATCATGACAAACTGCTTTATCATATACACCTTAGCGTGAATATGCTGGCAGTGCCACTGACATTGGTTGCTATTTGAGATGGAAATCTTCTCAAGGAGGTTCATCAGAGCTCCCTCAAGAGCACTTAAAGGAGACAGGAATGTCCTTCTTCTGAGTTGCATTCATAAGTAATCTCCTAGGACAGGTTATTTATTCCCTGAGATGATTTTGGAGAATGTCCCTTTACACAATCTTAGCATCCATGGGGAGGATGACACTTTTTGGACAAGTGTCCAATTTAGAGGATACATTCTGTTGGCAGCTAACAGATCTCATGACAGCAGCCAGAACTCCACCTGTATTTCCTGTATTTCTGGGGTCCTCAAAGCAATTTGCTGTGATGGGAAAGCAACATCTGAGTTTGACCCCTAGCTATGCCCTTCCCCCAGTGTGTGTCCATGGCAAGTCAGTTCATCTCTGGGCCTCAGTTCCTTCAAGTATAGAATGGAGATAAGAGTATTATCTACATTATAGGGTTTTTTAAATGTGGATTGAATTATTTAATGTCTGAAAACATAGCTTTCATAGCTTCAATCAAAAGTAGGAATGGGCTATGACAATTGGGGCAGGACAGGGCTTCCAGTTCTGTTTACACTTCCCAGGAGCAATTTGCCTATAATGGTATAGGCAGATCCCCAAGTATTTCTCCTGTTTCTTTCCACCTGAAAATTTCAATTTTGCCTGAACATTATTAACTGGTCTCATTGAAGGTAAGGATGACACCTCCTTTGAGTATACCTTGTGACAGATCCTTACTATTAGAACTGTGTAAGATCTTCAACTACCTACATTCCAAGCGGCACCTAACTTGCTCCCTTTGATCTGAGTGGCAGCACCACCTTCACTGGGCCTTTATTTTTCCTCTTTTAAAAAAAGTGCCAGCCAGGCATTTAGTGCAGTGGTTTCGCTGCCTGCTGCACAAGTGCAAGGACCTGAGTGTGATCCCTGATACCAAAAAAAGTGCCTACTATGAGCCGGCGATTTAGCTCAGTGGTATAGCGCCTGCCTCGCAAGTACAAGGTCCTGAGTTTGATCCTCAGTACCAAACAATAAATAAATAAATCACTATTTTAAAAGTGCCCACCCACCAAGATGCCAAAGATAGCTATTTCCAAGAGATGAGATAGAGTTATGGAGTTTTTTCCCAGTCTATACTTTTCTATATGTTCTAAAATTTTTGAATGAGCATGTATTACTTATGTAACCAAAAAGTTTGTGTGTTTTTTTGGTTTTGTGAACAAAAGAAAAATTGTTCCCTTTACCCCTTCTCTGATACCACCTACTGGAATGTGATGCCCTTATGCTGTAGACTTGACATAAGTCCCTCACACCTGCAAGGGTCTTCAACACCATTTTGGTCATACCTTTGAACCCTTGAGGGGTGGAAACTCTCCACCAACAATATGGGGCTTTAAGAGTTAGCATTTCTAGATACTGATGAAGCCATCTCACATATATTAGAACTACTTGATTTCAAGCAGCAGAACCCCAACTTGAATTGGTTTCAACAGATAAGAGTTGTTTTTTTTTTAATGATGCAAGGATATAAAAATGATGCTGCATCCCAACGAAAGACTGTAGCTATACCTCAGGAATAGCTCAAGTTCAGAGCTCAAACACTGTCAGGAATCTCTCCCTCTGTCTTGAATTTTGTATGCTTGTTATTATCCAGCCATTTTCTCTGCCTGGTGGAAAACACAGAATTCCAGGACTATAACTTTCAAGGCCTGGAGAGAGATTTACTCAATGTTCTCTGGGTCCAAAGTACAAACTTCCTGCATAAGGGTCTCATCTGCCCAGTTTGAATCACATACCCATGCTGGAATGATTAACTGTAGCCAAGGACTAAGTTGTGGCCTGAAAAATCAGGGTCAATAGTGCTACTATAGTGCTAACCCATGCTGGCGTACAAGCTGTTCATTGTCTATCTGAATAGTTCTGCTACCAAAACTGAGAATAAATATTTCTAAACTTTTATAACAATTTGACATTTCTGTGACACTCAAGAATGTGATTTTATATTTTGTCAGGGCATCAATTTATGACAGATCAGAAATTTAAATGTTTAAATAATTTGAAAAGCATTTACGAAGATGTAGCAGCTCCTTCAGGAATCATATGCTTAAGAGAGACAGGGAACATACTGAAAGGAGAAAGCAATTGGTGTCCAGAACATCATATATAGAGAGAGAGCTCTGCACTTCATCATATTGACCAACATTAGGGGGTTTGTTCTCTGGAAGACATCAAGGACTAATTTGTCTTCCTTGTAATGTTTCATTATACTTGTGATAGATATGTGACTCTCTACACTTTGGCTTAAGTTCTTTGAGAGCAGAGACTGTGTCTAACCTACTAGCTGTAGTCATCCCACGCCCACTTGTAGGGGCTCAGTAAACAATTGTTTCAATGAGTCACTGCACTTTAAGGATGCCATAGAAACAAAGTTGGATGTATCTGGAGGTGAGGTCCTATAGGAGAGTCCGGCAGAACCTGCAGCTCCAGTTGACTCCTAGAAAGGGGACTATCATAAAATGTGGTCATGTTGAAAGGTTTGATATTGATATACTGATTTTTTATAAACATTTGGAAACTACAGCTCATGTTGACCTTAGTAGTTGCTTTTGAAAAGGAACAAAAATGGAATGTTGTTGCTGTATCATATACTTTGGCTTCATGATATGCTACACATGAATACTGAGTTTTCCTAAGGTGAACACAGCTATATGAAACCTTAAGTTCATATAAAAAGACAAGGGAAGATTTGGATTATAAGTCAAAGTGGCACAATTTTACTATAAGCTCTATCAATAATTTGGCTGTTACTTCAGACAAACCATTTTCTCCTTCTAGACCCCAGATTATCAATTTGTAAAATAAGATAACTGAAATAAATTGCATGAGTCCTCCCAACTCTGTCCAACCATAATTTTCTCATTCTCTAGACATCTGTGTGTGTACTCTTCATCAGATTATAAATTACGAATTTTTCATTTCCCACAGTTCCCCATCCTTTGAAAATGACAAGGTTCAGTGTATAGACTTGCTATTTCTCAGAGGTTCAGTGCTGGTTAGTCATGATTGTTCTGTTTTATAAACTCAGAGCTGGAGATGTGTTGAGGTGTTCTTATGTGTCTGCTTGTGTCTTGTCCTTTGCCCCACAGCCATGCTGCAGGCAGTGCGAGCCCTAATGATCGTGGGAATTGTGCTGGGTGCCATCAGCACCTTAGTGTCCATCTTTGCTCTGAAATGCATTCGCATTGGAAGCATGGAGGACTCTGCCAAGGCCAAAATGACACTGACCTCCGGGATCATGTTCGTTATCTCAGGTAAACATGGGTTCCTGCTCTCAAATATGCTTCTGGGAATTTCAAAGTAAAATCACTTTGGTTGAAGAAACATGGCTCCTCCTTATTGTTGAACATGGTTCAGACCTTTTCATGCTAGTACTCAAGATCTGAGTGTGGAAGTCTACTGACACTCTCTAGAACTCTTATGAGTGCTAATGACCCTCTCAACTGTCACCCCAAAGCAATATAAGAGGATCATAGAGGATCATATAAGGTAATCATGTGACTAATCTCTAAAAGGCATCTTCTTAATGAAAAGAAAATCATTTTAAAGGAGGAGTTCTTGACATCATCAAAAGATCAAACTCAAAATAGGACTATGTACCCTTGGTCCCTAGATCCACAGGACATGTCTCCCTCTCCCCTCTTCCCTCTCCCCTCTTCCCTTTTCCCTCTTCCCTCTTCCTTCTTCCATCTCCTCTCTCTCTCTCTCTCTGTCTTTCTCTCTCTCCTCTCTCCCCTCTCCCTGCTCACCTCCCACCTCTCCCCTACCTCTCTCCCCTCTCCCACCTCTCCTCTCCCTCTCTCTCCCTCCCTCCTTCCCCCCACCCTCCCAGAATAAATGAGGTAAGAAATAAGTATCTAGTTCATTGCCTAACACGTAGAATTCAATAATCAGTGTTTGGTTGATTATTCTGTACAGGAATGAAATATTCTGCAGCCTGCTCACTGAAACTCATTTAAGCATAAACTGCCTTAAAGCTGATCCTAAAGCTTTCTTGTTCTTTATCAACAGGTGTTTGTGCAATTATTGGCGTGTCTGTGTTTGCCAACATGCTGGTTACTAATTTCTGGATGTCCACAGCTAACATGTATGGCAGCATGGGTGGAATGGTACAGACTGTTCAGACCAGGTAACTTTCTAATCCATGTCTCAGTATTCCATGGTGAATATTATTGTAAGAATCTGATTAAATACATGTACCTAATATGACCGTCAGTGCCTGAAATAGCAAAAATTTATCAGAGGGAGCCATGCCATATCATAAATCAACAATGATCTGTAAATTCACAAACTTCATTTCAGTGAAATATTCTTGGTGATAATGACTTCAGACTGATCTGACATTTGCATTGAAATACAGTGACAGTTTACAGTATTTATCTAACACTCTTATATAGGCCCCATTGTGGTGGCAATGAAACAAGCACTATTATCCAGGCATGCAAATGAATATGAACATACATCTACAGTCCATAATGGGAACCTGGCTAGGAAAAGGTAAAAGCTGGAATAGAAATGAGCTTAGTGCAGGGGGGAAACATGATGTTTCTTTCTTGTACTGCTGTGACTTTCTCTCCATCATTAATTCATTTATTCTGCAAATGTATTGAGCACCTCCTGTGGGTCAGGAAGTGTTTAGATACCAGAGATACAGACACACACACATTTCTCTAACTTCATGTATAAAAGAAAATCATGAAAATTACAGTCCAGCACAGGAAGATGAAATCTGACTATAGTTTAGTGACTGGAGTAAAGTATAACTTTTTAAAAGACAGAAAAGCAATACTAACACCTGTATTCATTTAGCCATTTCAAATGGATGTACTTAATAGCAAGAAGCAATAGCAAAATCCTAAAGGAGAAAGATCTTGTTCTGGGAGAGCAATATAAATATTATACCAAAGTGACCAGTCTTCTCCATGTAGGGTCACTTGGTATTTCTCCAGCCACACCAACATGAATAGATACGATGATGTGATAAATCCATTACTCTTTGAATTCCTGGTCCAATCACTTCTATATTTCTGCTTTATTCAAAATGAGAAAATGAATGACCCCATAAGCTAGCTATCCTGATGCTCTTCCATGTTCCTCCCATGGTTTCTTGGTTACAAGGGCAACTTAGAAGCAGGCTGACCAACTCATTTCAGTTTACTTGGGACTTTCTGTTTGAGCACTAGAATTCCCACAACCTAGGAAATATCTCCATCATGGAAAAAGCAGAATTGTTGGTCAGTCTACTTTAAAAAGCCCACCCTGTCCAGAATATCTGGTTGCCTGGTGTCACCACCCTTAGCCAGAGGAGCCACCCACCAGCACCCAGAGATAATGCCTCCTAGCACTCTCTCACACCATCTCCTTAGTAACTGCCCCGTCCCTTGGGTCGGCAGCTTCAATCTGTAATTAAGCCTGTAGATTCTGAGAGGCCTTTGAATATCTCTTTCTGTGAATGAACAGCTGTCTGTCCCCTTCTTTCTGTCTTCATTTTCTCTATTTAGAAATCATACAAGACAGCCCAATTGCCAAGAAAGATCTTAGCAATCCATTTGATGGAACTTCGGTTCTGATGCCCCATTATCTTATATCTCCTCCTTCACCACTGCCCCCCCCACTCTGTCATTGCAATGTTGTATGTAACATTGGCCATGATGAAGCCCTGGATCAGAGCTGCAAACTTTCTGCCTTCCAACCACATGCAGGCTGTAAGGCATTTTGTATTAGCCTAAACATTTTGTTTTATAATCTGAATTAATCACCAATTTTTAAAATTAGAAGTGCCACAGATTGTGTTTCTCAGAAGCAGATCCTGAGAAGAGGATCCCTATAGAGGTATATATTAAGGAAGGGGAGGCTGGTTAGAGAGTAGGGAAAACAGAACAAGAAATGGGAGAGTCAAGCATGAGTGTGATTTCAGATGAGTTTCTGACTCAGCCTAATACTCAGGGAAGACATTGTGTAGTGTGAATTATGCCTCAAAGTTGTCTCCAAACTAAAGATCTCAGCTTTCATATTTTCATGCCAGTCACTCTCTGTGAACATGGGCTAAGGGCCTCAGGAGCTAAACCAAAGCCAGAACCCCAGGGATTCTGGCAAGGGACCAACAGGCAAGAGAAGACATAAGCTGGAGAAGAAACACACAGAAATGCCTAAAGGGGCAAAGAACTATTAATGCCTGTGAAAAGCAGATTTGACAGTATACACACACACACACACACACACACACACACACACACATTTCTCTAACTTCATGTATAAAACAGAATCAGATATGGCAGAACTGAGTCCCATTCTCATAAAGCAGCCTTCTCTGCACTGAGAGGCAGCTGCTCTTTTCGCAAGGATGCACACTCTCCAGTTTACTACATCCCCACTGCTCTCAAATGGCCCAACTCTGAGCCATTTATCACCATGTTTATGGAGTTTCTCTCCATATATTAGCGTCAAGAAAAGGAAATATTTTCTTATGCCTTACTCACTTCACTCATTTAAGTTTCTTGCCTGTCCCAGGTAAGTATTTAAGTTTGCAAACCTTGACCCAGAGTCCCTAGGTTAAGAAGAGGAATCTTGTTCCCTCTCTGACCCTCAATTTCTTCATCTGTAAAATAGGAATGATAAATCCTATTACAGTGGCTATTGGGAAAATTAAATGAGATGATGGTAAAAAAAATGCTTATCATGGTACCAGCAAGAGCTCAATAAATGGTAACAATTATTGTTACATCATTACCATTATATAGCAATTCAGGCATCTTTAGGGACATTGAGGAAGGGGGTTCTGTCTGTGTCAGGGCAGAGGGACCAGTACTGCCTCCAAGAAAGTCACCCAGGGCCCAGGAAGAGCATTAGGAAGGAGTCTGTTATTCAGCCTCTAGTCACACTGGGTAGGAGGAGAGTGAGGAATGGGATTCTTCATTCCAAGGCAGTGATCCTCAAACCCAATGTGTTTTTTCCTCACTCAAAGGGAATAAAATTGCCTACATATCAAATTTCTCCCAAACTTTTTCAAGGACTGAGCTTAGTCAACAAGTTCTTCCCTACATGACACACTTGGCCACAGTCCTATATTATTTATTTTAATCACACTAAAATGTGTGTGCTTTTCAAGTACATCGAAAGTAATATGTTTTCTTATGTTGCAGATGTCTGCACACATTGCTGTCTTCCTACTGCCAGCATAATATTCTTAGTCAGTATAGTAGACCTAAAGAGTAAGTCATTTGTGGTGTTCTACAAACAGTAACCATGGTCTTAGAGAACACAAAGGAAACCTCTAAGGGGCAGTGTCTATTGTGCTGGGCTGTTCTTTTCTACTAGCCTTTTGCAGATGGAAGTCAAGTTTCCAGCTAGCATCTAATACTTACTGACATCCTAGTGCTTTTCGGTCACTGAGATATCTCTCTCACTGTTCAAAATGTCCATTTGGGATCACAATTATTCTATTCTCAGATTTTGTTCTCAGTCCTGTTCTGATTTAATAGAGTCCCAGGGGGAGTATCCCACTTAGAGGAAGGGTACCAGCTTTGGAGTCAGACCCTCTTAGGTTGGAATACCAGTACAGGCTAGAATAGGAAGCACCCTGAGGGTAGAGTCTTTGTCTATCTTATTTACCCCTGTACCTTGGTGCCAGGGCAGTGCTAGTCACATCGTAGGACTGCAATAAATAGTTCTTAAGCAAAAGAGTAAATGAAAGAATGAATGATCACCTCCAACTTATTTCCTTTTTTAAGATAATATTCCTACCTGCATGGTTGGTGGCAAAGTGTATTTTTCACCTTCCCATTACTGTAATGAAATACCTGAAATAATTAACTTATAAAGAGAAAGGGTTTATTTTGGCTCACAGTTTTGGAGGTTTCGGCCTAAGATCTAGAAGATTCATTGTTTTAGACCTCTGATGAGGGTATCAGATGGCAAGAAGTGTATGATAGAAGCAAACTGCTCACCTCATGCCCAGTACACAGAAAAGAAAGAGAGAAGGAACCAAGATTCCCTAATTCCTTTCTAAAGCACACCCTCAATGACCTGGGAACTTCCCATTGAACCCCACCTCCTAAAGGTTCTATCACCTTCAGACCTTCAACACATGGGCCTTTGGGAGATATGCAACACCCAAATTAGGAGTTACCTGAGGTAAGGTAAGTTGAATACTTCTTGGCCCAGTGAGGACTCAAGGAACTAAAATTTCTTCAGGAGTAATAATTTGAGACTCATTTCATATCTAGGAAATATCTCTTACCAAGTCTTCCAGACTTTCTCTTTTTGCCAGTAGATAGGGGAATGTTTAAAGGTGGCACAGGAAGGATAGGCATGGCCAGGAACAGTCAGCAGACCCTGAAGAGCTGAGTCAACTACAGTCACAGCCTCCCTCTTGCCCCTCAGGTACACCTTTGGTTCAGCTCTGTTCGTGGGCTGGATTGCTGGAGGCCTCACACTAATTGGAGGTGTGTTGATGTGCATTGCCTGCCGGGGTCTGGTACCTGATCAAACCAAGTAAGTCTTTCATTCCCCTGCATTTAGACACTTCATTTGCTCAGAGCCCATTTTAATGTATTAATCTACGTGTTTGGAAGAACTTTATAAACTAAAGGTTCATTGACCTTTCCCATTTACAGGGAATCTAAAAAACAGAACTGGAGGGGCTGGGGATTTAGCTCAGTTGTTCCGCCACCTGCCTCACAAGCACAAGGTCCCGAGTTCAATTTCTGGTACAAAAAAATACCAGAACAGGAATATTTCAGCCTAGCAAGATTAGGAGTGCTACTATTTGATAGAAAAAAATCCTAAGTTCCTTCTCCAAAGTTCTGTAACTCAGTCATTTTCATTTGGAAGATGTTTTGCACTATCACCACTTTCCAGGATATTTAGTAACATCTGAAGATAATTTTGATTCTTACAACTTTGGAAGAAGGCAGAGGAAAGTGGTATTGGCATTAAATAGGTACAGGGCAAGAATGCTGCTAAATATCCTACAGTGTACAGGATAGATCCTAACAACAAAGAAGCATTCATTCCAAAATGTCACTAGTAATGGTGTTTCAAAGCCATGTTATGACTTCACAAATGCTCCTGGAGTTTTCAGAGTTGAGCTCCAGTGTGATTCTACTGCTAACTGATCCTCTGATCTCCAGCAGGTTAGCTGTCCTCTCTGGGACTCTGTCTTAGTCCACTTGGGAAGCTATAACAAAATATCACAAAATGAGTAATTTATAATCAATAAAAATATATTTCTCGGGGTTCTGGAGTCTGGGAAGTCCAAAATCAAGATGCTGGCAAGTTAAGTGTCTAGTGAGGGCCCAACCTCCACTTCCAAGATGGGGCCTTGGTACTGTATTCTCTGAAGAAAAAAAACATTGGCTTCATGTGGCAGAGGGATGGAGGGACAAGAGAAATCTCCCTTCAACCTCAAGCCCTTTTCTAAAGCACTAATCTCTCATGAAGTTACTTTCCAATGGAGGATGAGTTTCAGTATGAATTTTGGAAAGTACATTTTCAAACCGTAAGCAGCCACTGTTACCTTACCTGTAAAATAACAAATTATGGGAGATGAGTTGCACATAGGTACCTTCCAGCTCACAAATCCTACAATTCTTTGGCAAAATAATGGGACATTATTCCTAGTTTCCCTTAGTTTTAATTGATTAACAGAAAGAATTAATTTGTCACTAACTACTGGCTCAGTGAAGCCCTAATATAAAAGCAAGAAATTCTGCTTTATGCATAGGCAGAAATCTAGTGTCTTAAAGAATAGAATGAACAACCATCTTGGTCTGCTCAGGACTAATGGGTTTCAAGGACACTGGACTTTTCATGCTAAGACTGAGATCATCCAGGGTAAATGGTGAAGTTGATCCTCCTACTAAAGACATCTGTGTTCATGGGGTATTTCTTTTCTCTCAGCTACAAAGCCGTGTCTTATCATGCCTCAGGCCACAATGTTTCCTACAGGCCTGGAGGCTTCAAAGCCAGCACTGCCTTTGGATCTACCACCAAGGCCAAGAAGATATATGACGGGGGTGCCCACACAGAAGATGAGGCACAATCTCACCCTTCCAAGTATGACTATGTGTAACGCTCCAAGACCCCTGACCATAGGCAGAAGAAACTTCCTCAAAGAGAGCTCACCAAAAAAAAAGGAGATTCTACCTTGACTTTTTATTGCTTTTGACTCACAGTTGGAAGTTATCAAAGCCTTGATTTCATCTGTAGTGAAGCCAGATGGACTTGGCCACATATGTGTCATTGTCTCTAAATATTCCATTACAAAGCAACTGAGTTACCATTCATGAATTAGAAGTTGTATAGCTCCCATTTTCTAACCCTCTATTTCTTTTGAAAAATAACTTTTAAAATATGCTGTATAATGTGGCTTGACTCCTGACACTGTGATGATTTAATCAGATTCTTCCTCCTCCTTCTATTTAATAAATGCATTGATGATCTATTTCTCAGCTTATACTGAAGGAAATTTTTGAAAGGCAAGAGGGCAAGTAGATTAAAAGACATTATTTTCTGCTATTTTATTTTTTTTCCTGTCTTCATCTTCAACTTGACTACTAATAAACACTAATTGGAGTAGAAATGATAAAAGAAAGATATTTGTAATCTCTCCAATCCATTATCTGAGTTTTCTTACACTAGGATCTTAAAAGTTACTGGACCAAAGTGATTTTCAGTCTGAGGCAACCGAGCTTGTCTGCTTCTGTTGGCATCTGCTAAATTCCAGTAAGACTGTCCCAGGGGTTTCCATTGGAGGTGCCCCTTCTGTGACAAGTTAGAAATGGTCCCTAGTGGAATGATAAAAGGATTTTTTTTGTAATCTAAATCCTAAGTATAGATAGAATAAGTAATGTATTAGAAAAATGATACATTATATCTGTGACTTAGTCTCACCCTTAAATATAGGTAGAAGAAAATGAAAAAATATTCTTTGATACTGTCTTTATTGTACTGTGTAAAGTCACACCTAAGTCTAAATTCCATGAGAAGCTCACTAATCCCAATTCTTTCCTTTTGAGGTCTCCATGATTCTGACTACACATAATAATGAATACAACCAATGTAAAAACAAAAACAAATAATGGAATACAGTCCTAAGGATGTGGGTTAAAAATCGGTTCTTTTAAAAAATGATAAGCCTAAATTTAGTGTTATGTGTTCATACTTACCTGCTGCAGGCCACTGCCAGTTGACAGTAGCCCTTACTTGTCATGTGCTTGGTTTTGTTACTCTTGACAGCTGTTTCCTTCACCAGATTCACCTAGAGTGGTTGGAACAGTGGATGTACAGGCCAAACTGAAAGTTCTTTGCAGCTACATGCCTTCCCTGGGCTTGCTTCACTGCCCTTTTTAGTAGAAAACTTCAACTCCTTCCAGGACAAAAGAATCCCATCCCACCACCAAAACCAGAATAGGCTCCCTGGGAAATGGAGGTAAAGGCAGTCTCTTAAAACTACCAAGCCAAGGAGCAGCAGAAATGCTATAAGACTGGCTATTGAGTTATTATTTGGGGGCAAACGCCCTTACATCAACAACATATATGAAAGCAGCCTCCAAAGAGCTTGGTGAATACTCAAAGGAGGTCTTCAGGCTGAATAAACTATGTCTGGATAAATACCAGGTCATGGTTCATTGAGCAGTAGAAGCTGTGTTCACCAACAGCCAGAGCAGTAAACTCAATCTTCCCACTGCAATTCTTTTACGCCAGTTTGAATAGATCATTCATGGGATTTGTTGCCTGGAGTGGGATAAAGAATAAACAGATAAATAAATTTGAGGGAAAAAGGAGGAACGAGTAATCTAGAGCACAGATTGTTAAGAATTCTCAGGATCAGAGTTGAAGGCAGTCCTTTAAGTTGAAGGCCATGGGCCAATGAATTTTTCTCCGCAACCAGTAATTCCCTGGCCAGGTCCAAGGCAGTAAGACTCAGCTGAGTTTCTTATTAGCATATTCTCCACCAGCATTCATTGTGTAATAGTCTCCATATAGTTAGATTGTGCTTTGCAATATTTTGTTGTTGCTCTATCTTATTGTGTATGCATTGAGTATTGACCTGTATGTTTTGGTTATTAAATATTAAAAACACTGCTTTCTTCCATTTGAATGGCTTCTGTTCTTTTTTCATAAGCTTTGAGAAGTGCAGATGGGAAGTCTCAGCACCTCAAAGCCGAATACATCTTCCCATGAGTGATTCTGCCTGCAGAACTGTGTCTGCTCAGCACCAACCTGGTTATTTGGTGGCCACCTAAGTCTAGGTCCAACCCTGTTAGTGGTTTCTGCAAGTTGAGAAGCCTTAGTGAAAGGAGGTTCCCAGAGCAACTAGAAATGAGGCTTGGGGTCCAGGGACCAGTTTAGCCTGTCTGACTTTGAATGTACCAGCCTGAAGTGTCTAATGTCATTGGCCTGTCCCTTGCCCCTAAAAGAGGAACACCCTCTCAATTCTGCCAAATATTGGATTGATTAGCTCAGAAAGGTATGCTCCTTAAGTCTATATCAGGCTATAGAAACAGTCCGAGCTGCGAAGTTGGAACAGCACAAATTCAATTCCAGGTCACACCATTTCCCAGATGTTAACTTGAAGCAAAGCATTTATCCTTTCTGAGTCTCACTTTCCCCATCTATAAAACAGGGATAATAAGGATAATGGAATAATACAAGTAAAGGACCTACTTAAGTAATGGATATACAACTTGCACAACTTTAAGACAAATAAGAGTATTAACTTACATAACTGAGGTATCTAATGCCCAGTTAACTTCAGGCACAGCTGGATCAAAGAATATGATCAAGACTACCTTTCTCTGCCCATATCTTAGTTTTACCTTCCTCTCTGTTGGTTTGCTTTTTGGAAAGACTGTCTCACAGGGTACCAGAGATAGTTGCTCATATTTCCAGGCATAAAGTCACATTTTAGCAAGGGAACCTAGCCAAAAGGAAGCATCTCTTTCCTAACATGTACAGGAGAAAAGATCCTTATAAAACTCATTGGACTTTTTGAGCCATGCGGCATTCTTTTTTGTCTTGTTTTGTTTTGTTTTGGGGGGGTTTTTTGATACCAGGGATCAAACTCAGGTCCTTGTGCTTAAGGGGCAGGTGGCAGAACCCCTGAGCTAAATTCCTGGCCCCATCCATGTGTCATTCATAACCTCTTCTTAGGGGCATCTATCTTGACCAAGTCTGGGTCCTTCAGTCTACTTATTATGCACCAAAAAGACTATTCTAGGTATTCAGAGTCCTTAGAAATTAGGCAAACGCATTCTTTTGTTTCATGTTTTTCTTTCTTTGGTTGAACCTGGCTTACAAGAAAAGTTTCTCTGAGGGCCAGGGATTTAGCTCAGTGGCACCACTCCTGCCTTGCAAGTGCAAGGTCCTGAGTTCAATCCAGGATACTGCAAAAAAAAAAAAAAGAAAGAAAGAAAAGCTTCTGTGACCAATTATCAACAGAAAACTATTAAAACTTAGTGATATCAAGGCAAAAATTTACATTCAATTTTAAACAAGATTAGAAAATTGGTTGGTTAAAATTATCCTCCAACTGGGGTGGAGCTCAGTGGTAAAGCACATGCCAAGCATGTGCAATGCCCTGGGTTCAATCTCCAGCAGAAAGAAAGAACAGAGGAATTGACAGAGAGAGGGAGAGAGAGAGAGGGAGGGAGAGAGAGGGAGGGAGAGAGAGAGAGAGGGAGGGAGAGAGAGGGAGGGAGAGAGAGAGAAAAAAAATTGTGTTCAGTTATATAATTTAGTGTTATTCAAATTTATATTTCCTAAAATTTAGGGGCATTTCTGTGTAAAGACAGAAATGAATGAATCAAGCCATAAGTACATGCTAACAATATGAGTCACCACTGCTATCTATAAAAATCCCCAGGAGGGGCCCGGGATGTAGCTCAGTGGTGGCACCACACCTTCCTGGCAAGTTCAAGACCCTGAGTTCAATTCTTGGTACTGGGTTAAAAAAAAAATCCCTGGGAGTTCCCAGTAGCTGACCACAGAGTATTTTACCTTAAAGTGAAGAAGAAAGGGTATTAAATAATCTTTCTATGGCATGCCCAATTCTTTTGCCTTTTTCTTGGATAGTATCCAGCCTCCTCCTGCCTCCACATGACATTCTTCAGGATCAGCCACCACAGTGACCACAGTTTTTGCCAAAATGTCTGGTATATAAGAATTGGTATAATCTGCTAAAAAAGGTCATGGGCTTGGAATCCACTACACTTCTGGTCCTGGCTTTGTCAACCAATTGTGTGACTTTGCAGGAAAATTGCAATGATTCATTAACATGTCTTCATTATTTTTTCTTTATTGAATTCTCATAGTTAGAACTGTGCTTAGTGCTTAACATTCTTTATCTCTAATCCTCCAAAAACCCTGATGTCACCTCCACTGACCTCCAACCTGTAACCAGTCTGAAAGGCCCAAAGCTCCAAGATACTTATTAGGAATCAAGCCATACCTACACAGACTCACACTGTCACACTCACACACACACACACACACACACACACACACACACAGCTCAATTAGATTTCAGGATCCTCATCAAGGTTTTCTAATCTTAAGCATTTGCATATGCCTCTGGACTGTTGAACTATTTCATTCCTCCCAGTTAAAGCCAGCCTGATTTTTCATATCTCCCAATTCACAGTTTAAAAGGAAAAGGGTTATTCTTTTCACAATATCAGAAGTAAATGTGAAATAAATATGCAGGATGTTAAGGGTAGAGGATAAACAGAAAGTTTCCTTGTGGCTTAATATGAAATATAAGAAATAATGTTGTGCAGACAAAATGTCAATGAAATGCTTTAAGTTCATTCCAATTCTATTCTGCAGTTAGATAGGGTATTTAATTTAGCTATCAAAAATGTGTCATTTTAGTGATAGTTTTTAGTATGCATATCACCGCAATATTCAATACTAAAGGCAACTACTACCTAATGACCAAATAAGATAAAATCTCTTAGACCCCTGGCTACAGAGAGTTGCTGAAAGAAATCATAGACTTCTTCCTTAGAGAAACATCAAGGGGGAATGGGTCCAAAGAACATATAATTCTCATCCACAGAAAACATTATATTTTATCCTATTTTTTAACTTAGATTTGAGAAAGAATATAAAAATAATTATATGCAATATGAAAGAAAGCTAAAAATATTTGTCTTTTAAATGGACAAAATAAATATGCATATACATTTTTAAAAGGAAGAAAAGAAGGAGAAAAGAAAAAATGAATGAATAATTTTGCAAAAAAAGGAAGAGAGTCAGTCATATAAATGTACTTTTAAAAAATTTTGCCTATGAGGTCAAGAAGTATAACACTTAATACAATCTACATAAAATTTCAATTTTTAATTCTCTGGTTTCAAAAACTATTGGATAAAAGCATTTACAATGTGCATTGTAAATTGTGCACAGATAGATGATGAGAATAATGGGGTAGGACACTGGGCCACCTGGTCCCTCCTGACCAGATTCAGCCTCTGCAAAGCTCTCAGTGTGCTCTGTGAAACAGCACTCTCAAAGACTTCAAGTCTAATGAGAACTACGGTGTGATGGCACCCACAAATAACCCCCAAAGTGTGCTATATGTAGGAGAAATACCTGTCGCCCCAAGTGGTAGCAACAAAAACTACCCATACCTTCCTAGGCTGGTTTCCTTTCATCTTAACAACACTTTTAATGCTTCCCCAATGGTGTCTGGGATCCAAGTTCATCTTTATCAGCATTGAGAGGTTTCTCATTCATTTCCTAAGCGGAAATGGATGTGATCTGCTCACTCAAGTTTCAGGTTTTTGCAGTCTAGGCTTTCCCTCTTATCAAAGCTGCTGCCTTAGCCCTTGTTGACAATAAAAGCTTATTTATTTTGTTCAATAGGCCAACTTGATCTTCCTCCCAATAATTTTTTAAAAGGTAATGTACCAAACTTTGCCACCCATACTTATTGCCCTAAGGAGGGAGGTTGCCATAGCAATGCCTCTGGTAAAGAGGATAGAGTCTAACTGAGGGATAAATAAAATACCACAATGGGCACAGGCTGCCAAGCCAGACAGCAAGCTCCTTATGATGCTGGGAGTGTTTGTCCAAGTCTTGGGAGTTAGTCATAGTTAAAAGAGCATGAAGGAGACAAAAAAATGTCCAATTGCAAACAAATATGTGAAGGGGAAGGGTTGGAGTCAGAATGTAGGTGGAGATATTTTGAAAGTCAACAGTGAATGGATGTGGCTGTGTCCTCTTATGAGGGCTGCCAGAATCCTCCTACCAGGAGCTTTTGTGCAGAAAGCCCAGTCCCCATTCATTAGCAAAGGGACAGAACAAATAGGGTAGAAAGAACCCAAAAGAAAGTTCATGGGAGTTCACTGGTCTCAAATGGCCTCACAGCCCCTTTGGTAACATACACGCAGACTCCATCTGTTCATTTTCTGTGACCCAGTCACCTCAAAGGACTTCTTGGGAACCTGCCCAAAGAAGATCATCTTAACCTCAAGAAGGGCTGTGGCAACAAAGATCAGTGAAAGGTTGTTTTCAATTCTGCAAAACTAGAAAGAGGGAAAAAGTATTTAATTCTAAAAACAAGGGAAGAATTAAACAACAATACAGTAATATAATATGAAGGAGAAAATAAAGTTGATGTTTAAGAAATCTTCACAATAGTTAGAGAAATTCTCATCCTTTTTACATGAAAATATAAAATTCATCATTGTAAATGCAACATGTAAATCCAAATCATGGAAAATTAAAGAAATAGGGAAGAAATGCACCAAACTATTAATAGTTCTTTATGTCCTGAGTCTGGGGTGAGTTTATATTTTTTGTCTCCCTGGGAAGGCTGCAAACCTAGCACGTGTAGACATTGCAAACTGCTTCATGCAGAGAAAGTCTTCCCTCAGTGGTCTACAGACACCAAACAGAAATGCACCATAATCTGTGGACCAAAGATAGACAAAGAACCACTTGTGAGAGAGATGAGCCCAAAATTCCACCATACAGATGGAAGTTTTTGTTCTTTAATCTCTGCTTCTCCATGTTGGGCTTGGCTTGGGAACTCTGCATGGCAAAAATTATTACAAAAACTAGGCTGGAAAAGCT